CAATCTGGATTGTTATGTATGGTTGATTGTTCTGTATTGTCAGAGTCCAAGTTCAGTTGCAAGAACCTTGAGGTGCGAATTCTTGAATATTTGTCCAGCCCCAGACACACTATATTAATAACAATATAGTGGCAAAGTATCCAGAACCCAGCCACTATGCTTTCCTTTTTCAGATTTTATCACCTAGTGATTGCCTTAAATTCTGTTCGCCAAACTTGGAATGGATATGTGGCAAGCCTAGCAATATGTTAGTATTGATACAGGGTTTTTTTTTTCCTTAAAAATGGTAAAAATGGCAAATGGCAATGAGTTCACCTGAAGGAGTTACCTCCTGATCCCTTTTCTGAGCTGGTCTTCTGAGCTGAAGCAATATTGCATAATGTAGTCTATTGTAGAGTATGTTTAGAATGTGTCTGGGTTAATAAAAGGGAGATTTGCTTGTAATGAAGGAGAAAATTCAGCTGCCCTGTGTAAAGTGTGTCAGAACCTTGCAATAACATGCACGCTATTTGATAGGACTCATGAGTAAGCATCCGTTCTCCTCAAAAAAATCCTCCTTTTAAAGGCTGTCATTAACTTTTTATTAGCTTGGTAGGAAAATGATGGGAAACTGAAAAGGCTCAGACAGAAGTGCAGCTCCCCACTGTAACTCACAGCGCTTTGCAGGAACTGCTATAAGTTACAGTGACCTCCCGGACTCAACAGATATTTGCTGTTGAATCCTGGGGGTTGGGGGATTCAGCTGCAATTTGGAATGGCTGCAAGTCTGCAGCTACTGTCCCCTAGCCCCATCCCTCCCCCTTCCAGCCCCGCTCTGTCTTCAGAATGGAAGGCGGGGGAGGTAACAGAGGAAGTTTGGTCTGGGGTTTCTTCAGCTGGCACTGGAGGCTGGGGGGTTGGCCCCCCCCCCCCCCCCCCCCCTTTGGGCTTTTATATCTTTTAAGGCAAAACATCGTGGTGAGGCTAAAAACACAGGAACACCAAACATTTGTCAGAAAATGCTGCTGTTTTATTTGCGATCATGCTGGCTGCCTCTTTTCTGTTACATCACAGGGCCCTTGGCCTCGGTTAGCATCTGCCTTCTCAGTGGGGCATCCTCCACCCTCTGATAGTTTAAATGGTATGCTCACAGAAAGGTCTAAATGGCAAAGTAGTTCAACTGGCTAGCTCACCTGAAATGATTCAAAAGGCTGACTTGCCAGGACTGCCCCACATGACTCACTCCAAAGTAATCCAACAGCCTCACTTTCCCCACTCCCCACCATGAGAAAACCAGCCCCCAAATATGGGCAATAGCCATACAGTTTACTTTCTCCAATTAGCTACAAAACCCGGCAGAGTCCCCTCCTGCTGCTTCCTAAATGCAGCCTTCCTGCTCCCCTTCCAGTCACCCTATAGTCCTTGATGCAGGCTCCTGTTATCAGGTTGCCTCCAGGCTCATTCAGTCTTACTGCTGGGCTTTCCCCAGCTCTCGCCCTTCCCAAGACCTACTCATTTTCACTGCATCCAGGGTTGACATTGCCTCAGCTTTAGCCAAGAGAAGCTCCATTGCCAGGACCCTTCTGCCTAGTACTTCTTGGCCCTGTGCTTATATAACTTAATAGGGGCAGGACTCCTGGGCTGGGCTGGTTGTTTTAAAGGCCCAGACCCCTTTTTTTCCATCCCTTCAAAATGGGGCCAGAGACCTCTCACTAAACACCTATGGTGATTTCTGGGAAGAAAAGGAAAACTATTTTGCCATAAAGCATCCATTTAATTTAGTCTGGGACAACAAACACCAAAATGCATTAATCCTAATTGTATGATTTCTGCAGGGTGGAGTCAGGGTTGCTTGAGTGTCCTTACTATACATAGCTGTAATTTTATATATTTGGATTTAAGTTTAATCTTAACTATTTCCTGGAGATTTAGACGTCATTATAACATACCCCCTTTTCAACTGTATTTACTGATACTCTCAGTCTTAGTTGTAATATATACATATGGTCTAGGAATTATAAATAAAAGGCTATGCAGTGTGCAAATATGTACAGTGATCTTTTATCAGAGAAATTGATATGGTGCATTGGCTGAAAAAAATAGAAGATTCTTGCCTGTTGTTTATCTAAATGCTCACTAAAAATATTTTTTTCTACACTTGTGAATTCTTTAGGCTATTTTGGAAACGTAAAGTTGATGGACTGGCATCCTGGGAAAAACATGATGGTTAAAAAGGATTCTCTAGTGGCTAGTGTTGACCCAAAGTACCCTGGCTTAGGGCAGCTTGTGAGTGGAGAAGAGCATGGGTACTGTGTAAAACTGCTGTAACAAGGGGTTACCCTTAAAATCCCCTCTAAATTATATCAGGACCAAGCAGGCATCAGAGCCCTGAATGCCAGGTCTTCCTGATTTTAACACAGAATTGATGTCTTTTAGCTGAAAGTCTTTAAAACAGTCTTTGCCCTGAAAGTTTGTACTCGGTTTTATTGTATTAAGCAAAACAATATTTAAATGAGTAAAAGGGGTGTACTTTCTTATTGCATACTGCCTTTCTGTCCATCCTGGCACTGCCTGTTACTTCCTTTTCTATATTTTATAGTAGCTGTAACTGTTATGACAGTTTCCTTTGCTTCCTCACCCATAGCAGTTTGCATCTTTTGCATCTGTATGGTAGATGTATATGTTAATGCATGACATTTCAGCAATACTGCTGCTTTGAGATCAGGAATTCTTTATGCATTACAAAGAACAGAATAAAATTAACTCTTCTATGTAATCCCCCCTTAGAGGGGACTGATCTTTCACTTGTTGAAGACAATGGGGATCCTCTCTTAGCTGGACCAGTATACAGCTGCTTCATCATTTGCAGCCCCTCTCACATTCAACAGTTTCTTTATTTGGAATTAGTGGCATGTTTCAAACTTCAAAATACTCAACAAAATGAAAAACAATAAACTGATAACAATAAAAAATGGATCCCCATGCTAACCAGCTTGATAACTGCATCTGCGATCAATGGCCAGGAATTGCTACATACTTGAAAATTAGCACTAATGAAATGATATATAGAATTGTACATCGTGCTTACACAGTCGCTGGAAACAAATTATGTCAGGAAGTCAGTATTGTGTCCTGAAAGGAGGAAAACAAATAGTCTGTTGTGTTAAGAATTTGCAGCAAGATTGTCCTGGGCATTGTAATTGTGAAAAAAGGAAGGACTATATGCATCAACTCCCTTTGTTCATGTTTGTGTTGCTGCTTGTGGTTAGCAAGGCTCTGCATGCCAAGTAATGAATGTGGCTTTATTCTTATGGGGAAATTCAGGGCTAGATCCGCATAAGCATGCCTGATTCCTAGGCACTCTGCTTCCAAGTAGAATGTTCTGTTCAGCCTCAAGTCACACACTCCTCTTCTCATGAAGTCCAAGGGGACGATTCTGAGACTGGCTCAGAAAGTGGCTGCCAAAGCACCTGGAAGTGAAATGCAGAGAAAAGAAGAATGGTTAAGTGATTAATAAAATCAAAGAAAATGTGAGAATTCTAGTGAGAGAGATGACTCCTTGTGCTCAGGATCCTGAGCTATGCACCTTTTCCTGGAGTTAGGCACTTAAGTGCCATTTGCATACAAGCACATACACCATCCTACTATTGAAACAATGTGCAAAGAGCCCTACACCATAGCCAACAGTAGGTGTGCTGCCAGTAGGTCTAACTAACAGACTAGTGGTTAGAATACTCTATATGTGGGAGTTCATGGGTTCAAATTAGGGTTGGCAAGCTGATCAACTGACTGGTCAAATATTGTCAATTGACTGCATATTTTTGGACAGGTCAAAGATTATAGCAATTTTACCAAAAAAACCCTACATTTTTTATAGTTTTGACAGAAATGAGATTTTTTTTCTTGTTTTTGATACATTTCTTAATAGAAGATGTATGCTTTTTTTATTTGGACTTATTGGCAGTTTTTACAGTTTTTGAGCAATACTTGACTGGCCAATTGACCAAACTTTATTTGACTGGTCCAATACCCAACCCTAGTTCAAATCCTGACTACTTGAATCAGTGCAAAGACTTTAACCTCCAACACAACACAGAGGAGCCCTAGTCACTAGGCTATGCAGAGTCTGTGGTGGGTCTCCCTTGTGGATGATATTTTAATTTGTATAATAATTATTGGCATAGGGATTTGAACTTCAGTCTCCCACATTTATGGTATATCCTAATTACTGGGCTGTTGAGTCAGCCCCTCTTTCTTTCATATTGTCTCTGGCCCAATAAGTTTTAAATTATTTAATACAAAGAGGAATACCTGCAACAAAGAAGAGACACCAACCAAATAGCTCAGTGATTTGGCTCAGAATATAGGAGACCTCATTGAAGTTCCTGCTCCAAATCAGAAGAGTAGGGATTACAACCTTGGTATCTCAAATTCCAGGTGACTCCTGTAAGCACCCAGTTATCCAGAGGTGGATATATCAACCCCAAACATGGCCTGGTCACATTGTATCCTTCTAGTTTAATGGGATGGTATCAATCTAGTGATGGGATAGTATCCGTCTAGTACATTTTGAGAAACCTGATTCACTCCTCTGAGGCTTTGTCTTGACCTGGGGATTAGCCAGCAGCTAACTAGCAGTTTTGAGGCTATCAGAAGGTGCCTGAAGCCATCAGTTAGACATCATCTGCTTCTTTAGACACCTAAGCACGCTTGAGGATCTACGCCTTGGTGAATGCCATCTGTAATATAGTATGGATAAGAGTGAGCACATGCCTGGCACTTATTAAAAAATAAAACACAAACTGGTACATTAAACATATTTCCTTTGAGTTTTACTGTTGCTCTTTGTAAGATACAGAATTGCATATTCTACCAATCAAGGTAAACACAAGTCTTCCAGCACTATTAGTAATTATTGAAGCACTGTGATCCTTAACTTCAATTTCAAGCATCTCAAAAAAGAAGGAAAAATTCTAAACAGAATTTCATTTGATTTTCCTGTTTTTGTTTGTGTCTTACAGGCGAATGGACACAGTTTTGTACATATGGAACACGAGAAAGCAGTATTACTACTGAAGAGTTTCCAGAATACAGTAGACCTAGTTATTCAACGTGAGCTTACTGTCTAAATATTTTTTATAAATAGTAAACATATGTCTAGCCAGACCTAATGTTCAAACAGAAATTTATACATAGGAAACAAATTTTGCCAATTGCTGGACCAATGGCAAACATTAGTGCCAAATGTATAATATTATATGTTAGTACTGATCATCTTGAAAAATGCTAACTATAAATATGTTGGTCATGTGATTACGTATCAGTTTTAATTGTCAGCCTCTGGCTGTGCATTGGTGCAGGTTTTTTTAATCAAATTACTTCTCAAAGTGGATTTCATACAATTTCAGAACACAGAAGCACACACAAGCTCTCTATGAATTTCTGCTGTCCATCAAAAACACTGCCTCAAAGTTGTATATGCCTTTATAAAGGAAAATATATTGAGTTGTAATTCCCATAAGATATTTCTATCATGATTCACAACAAACAAGTATAGAGAAAAATATTTTCATAGACACCTCTAAGAAAGTATATATTAAAATTAAATTTAGTATGTTGATTTATTTTCAGTGCAAATATATACTATGCCTTATGGAAATAACTGTATATATACAGTGTTTAGAGCTGGCTCCATACTAATTAGCTATACTGTAACAATATGGGGTGAAATATTCCATAGACTATACTTTCATCTCTGGGACCTAAAGATAAATAGCCTAGACAACAAAAATTAACTAACTTTCTTTTGGCTGATGTATAAGCTGAATAAATGGAAACATAATTTTAGATAGTGATGGATCTCAAATATAAGCAGTAAGTAATGGGTGACAGGAAACCTTATGCTTTATTTTTGTGAATTTAATTATTTAAAATTATGGCCTATTTATTTAAGATGTTATCCCATTTCTTGCACCCTTATATATAAGATCTTTGTTCTGGGCCACTGTTGTAAGAGTTCTGTGATGGTCTTACTCCTATTATTTAATTTGAGTAAGAATAGCAATCCCATTAAAATCAATGGGGCACTTAAAGTACAATAATTTTTAGCAAGGGTGGCAGGATTACACCCCACAGAGAGCATTTAAAATGTGTTTTTTTTTCCTGGAGATATGCTACCTACATACTATCAGATAAACCTCAATACAGTTCCAAGTAGAGAAGAACAGATGCTGAACAACACTGCTAAACTGGTGCTAGTCTAAGAATCCAAGTCTATCGTTTCTGTGACTGACAGTGTGGAAAATCAGTTTCTTTGCTATGGGTAAGTTTGAATCTTGTTTCCATTGAAGTCAATGGCAAAATGGTCATGAACTCTAATAGGAGCGAGAACGAGCATCCGTTTCGAGACTTTTGGAAGATAGGAAGTAAAGTGGTCTGAACTATTTTTTAATAGTTTTTTAATGGAACATTTTAAAAAGTCCACAAATTTTACAGCAGTTGTGGCTATGTCAGACTTTAAAGGCTGCTATTGAACATTTTTCTTTATTGCTTACAGAACTTTATCAAAAATATAATCTTTTCTGTCTCCTCCCATCTGACACACGTTGATTCATTTCATTATAATTTGAATGAAACTAACATGACTTTAATAATATAATATCACTGTATGTAAAACCCTGTCTACTCTCTGGGCCTGAATTTCCTTTCAAGCAGGAGTAAATCAGGAATAATTACAGTGAAGAGTTTGGTAAGAGACTGCACTTTGCACCAGTCGTTTTATGGCAAGTACAAGGATTGTAGCAGCAGAAAGAAGTCTGCCCCCCACTTCGCCCCCCCATACAAGAACTGCAGGAGACAAACTTCAGGCTGCACACAGAGGACAGAGCTGAGAACAGGAAGGATGTATTGCTCACAGAGCTGTAGCATGGTTATGCTACAAGGATCCCCAAAATCCTGGGGAGACTCCATAACTTATTTCAGCCCCCTTCCTACCTAACACTGTCTAGATTATGGAAGTGTGTACTAGACCTTAGAGCTGCTCAGATCCTTCAAATCATATTCTCCCTTCTTCTGTGACCTGGTAATTCTGAGCCTCTGAAAGGTTCATGATGTATGAATGGACCTGTGTATTAATAGAAATTCATAACGGTAAATTTTAGGCATCTGGCCTCAAGTCTCTAAACCAGACATGGTGACCAACCAGCATCTTTCCCGAAGGTCTTTTGTTTTGTTTGGATTTCATTTATTTTCAACCATTTGGCAGATGTTGCAGTGTGACACAATATAATCAAGTGTCTTCATCCGAGTGACAAACTGGGTTGTGAAGCCAGTGAAAATGTGCAGTTATATGTATGTGCAGTTGTTCAAGTTTGTAGGTACGCAGAATTAGGCTGTAGCCCAGATCTTCAGAAGTATTTAAAGTATAAGCAGTAGGTATTAGGTAAGATAGATTTATTAATGGGAGCTAGGTACCTAAGCAATCAATACATTTAAAGAGCTGGACTTTCATATTTTCACATCAGTTTTCTTATCATTTAAAATGTTGTGTGCTTTTTCCCCTCTTTTTCCCACTTAAAATAAATAATTAATCCTATTAGTACAAACACTGATAGAAAATTAATACCAAAGATGCAGGTATAAGTTTTCACTTTGTACAGATAAGTCTTCACAGCAGAAGTGCTTTTCATTCACCTATCAGGGAACAAAACGAGATCATGTGACCTATCTGACCATAGCTAATCTCTACAACTCTTGTTCCAAACACATGTAATTACATAGAATAAACCATATGATAACTAAGGCAAATAAATTTGAATGAATTTGAATAAATTAAAATCACAAGTCTGAGCTAGAAGAATGGCTAATTTCAGCAATGCTATTTATAGCAAATGATTTACTTAGTTTTGTGTATCATTTAATGTGCAGAGATAGAGCTCTACTTCTGAGTAAAAGTCCTGACGTCATGTGCCTCTGTAACAGAGCAACATATTGGCCTTGAATTTTACAGGCCAGTATTCAAACTGAGATGTTCTTCCTAATAAAATAGGGTCTTCATTTCTAACCAGCAGAAAGTTACTCTTAAGGAATATAACCATACTAAAAGTAATGTATTTGTCATTCCCTAGGAGTTTCACTGTAGTTTATCTTGAGAGAGATGTATTTTCAGTGACTTTTGCTAAGACAATTGAGTAAATTAGTAAGTTAGTTTTGAGCTATGTTATAGCCTAATATGATACTACAAAACATGATCAGCCAACCATCCCACCTCCAAGATAAACTAGAAGACAATCTCCTGAGGCATGTTACAGGATAAAATATGTATCTGGCATCAAAAGTGTTCTCAGGTTTTACAGAGACAAATGGGATGAAAAGTGTTCTGTCCAAGACAGCCTACAAACTAGACAAAATGTGGATAAAAGGCAAGCAATCTACAGATGTCTTGCTTGTGAAACACATTTTGTTGATTATTTTTAGGGTGTTTTTATTGCACAAAATGCACTGATATAATCAGTGTAGGTCTGCTAGTTACAAGATAAAAAGTAATTTGCAATAGAGCCTTGTCATACCTAATATTTAACTCTTCCCTGCTGTATCACAGCTGCTTCTTGGCCAGCATAGAGTGGGCTGCATGCAACTCTGAATTTCAAGACTGTTGCAAACTTCTTCAATAGATCATAATTGCAGGGGAGCTACAGTTAGGAATGAAACCTGATATTCCCATGGAATCACTTAATTCCTAATTCTGCGGGCCTTTCTTGAGCACGATTCCCATTGACTCCAAGAGAGTTTTATCTGCTAAGTGAGACCGAGCTGCAGCTTGTATGTTGGACACACAGATGCTGAGTTTCAAGATGACACAGCCAAACCCTTCCTGGGTTTTGTTTTTTTTGGGGTGGGGGGTTGCCTTATATGCAATTTGGCAGAAGCAATGCTCTGAGAGTGCTCATAGAGTAATGTGGCTTTTACATTCTTTCTTTGACAGAACTTACGCTTTTTGTGTTTTATGGAAGGTTTTCAATAGTTGTATATAAGCAATAACATTACAGGAAGGTGTGTGGTTAGGATGTCACATATTATGTGAGTGCCTTGGCTCTGCAAGCTTATTAAACTTGATTATCAAGCAAGTGCCAGCTGCAGATGAGTAGTGTATCTATGACTGCTCCCTGGAGGGCATTTCATGTGTGGGTATTTTCATGTTTAATCAGAGCGTTCTGCTGCAGGCAACCCTGGCCTCAACACTACAGATTGTTTCTTTGGCCCAGGCTATTTGAACCTCATATGCTGTCTCATATTGTGTACTAGCTCAGGGTTTATAACCACTAATGAGAATTTGTGACAATGACTGAAACGTGGTGTTTAAGAAATAAAAACCGGAAAGTCCAAATTTCCATCCAGTCATTTACCCTTTCTATTTCCAAGCTTCCTTTCAGGTTTTAGCTGTGCTGTTTGTTCCCATGGTAACGCTTCTGATAGCAGTGAAACTGTGGCTGCTTTTTAGCTTTTTGCACAACAAATGCTTGTCTAGTGATCACCAAATAAGGCCTGGATGAAAGTGGAGGACCATGCTGTAATTCCCTTCCTCTGATTTTACAGAAGTTTTTAAGGAACACAGAATGGTTAGTATTAAAACTTACATTAAAATGATGCCATTAGAAGCGCAATAAGAGTAACTAAGTGACAGGTTAAAAAGCCAAATTGTTGCTTTACTTTAACTACATCAAATTGATACAGCTTGCATAACTGGTGTGAACATTTATAACCAAAAACTGCAAATTTTTAACAAAAAGTAACAATCAAATCAGTATTTGCTAATGCAATAGTAATATTAGCTAATGCAACCACCATATTCACCAGGTTAAAAAATAATAATAATAGGCTGAGGAGACTGCACGGTCTGCTGTGTTGCCAGCTTTATATAGAATCCAGTTCCCAGATTTTTTTAGGAATATGTTCTAATTACTCTAGGCTTCTTCTGAGCCTAAAACACCTTTCTCCTCTGTTGGTAGGAACTGTATACTCCAGCAAAATGCCTCTGTATCCATAAATCTTTCTCAGAATGAGAAAAAACATAGCAAAACAGGTCACAAGGACGTTTTACGGCTTCTAACGCAATACCTTAATTCCCCGCCCCCCCATTTTGTCATTATTTATTGTTGCTTTGATCAAGGTTAAAAGTCACTTTTAATGGAAAAGTTAAACCTTCCCAGCCAAACTTTCATATCACACTGAAATGGATTTTCTGTTACTCCAGATTTATAAAACATATATCCATCTCCTTTTTATTCATGGCTGTCCATCCCTCTTGTACAATTACATTATATACGTACAATTACATTATATCATTAAGTAGTGGGTGAATATATGAAATCCCACTAAAGAAGCTTGAGACAGTGTCTCAGTTCTGCTTACAGGCTTGTACAGTTAATATTTTCAGGCTGGTTAGTGCTGTACATCCATGATGTAGCTGGTAAAACTGGTAGCTGTCAGCTGCTTGTTGAATCTCCCATGCTGAAAAGTCATTTCTAGACAGTAGCAGGTTCTTCTTAGAAGAAAAGAATTCACAAGGGTTAATTACTTTTACAACTATGTAGCTTCTTCCAGGGCACCAGTAATTCCCCTGCCCCATCTTAATGTAATGATTAGGAAATCTGCTTGCCATAAAAGTTACTATGTCCATATGTGGAGTGCACTGAGTACCCTATTTCTGTTTTGAATAACTCTTCCCCCCTTATATTAAACATCCCTTCTGCTTCTAAATCTAACTGTTCCCTTTTGACATAAGATGTGTATTTTACTCACTAAAAGCAAACAAGCCGCTTTACAAGTCATAATTTCCCTTCCTACCCTGCGCATGTGAATGTTCAAAACAAACATAGGGCCCACTTTTGCTACAGAGTATGTGCATGTCCCCAACCAGAGAAAATAGAGAACTAGGAGTACGTCACCAATAATACAAGCAGTCCTGAGATTTTGTAAACCAGGCCACCCTACCACTCAGATGGTATTTTCAAGCTTACACCTGTAAGTGTACTGGGATCTATATTTGACCTCAGTACGTGCCTCTCTTGGAAATACCCAGGCAAGCCATAGAAGAACAAAAGTATGAATTAGCTTAACCATCAGTTGTTCAATACAGGTAGTTCTTATAAGCACATCTACATCTGGCTTTTTATGTTTAAAAGAGCCAGAGGCAGTAGTTAAAATTAGTCCATGTCATCCATGAAATCTGTCTCAGTGCACTCAGTCCCCTAGTACAGCAATCACTTTCCAATCACCTTTTAACTTCCAAATTTTTATTTCAAACAAGTGGAATGAAACCATACATTTTGTTTTTCAGTCAGCAAAAATTATTATTTAATTGTACTGCTAGTATAAGCTGACCATAAGAGTAACAATACAACTTTCAGGACAGTAGTTTGGATAGGATATAAATTAATTGCTCTTTTTTATGACTCCAGTTTTGCTATCTTTAATAAATGGTGTTACAGCTACATGTGTGCAGCACAACAGTGACACCCAGAGGCCAGGCAAGGGAACCAGAGCTTTTATTTTCTGAGTGGCTGTTTGAATTTTGGATCAGATTTCAATGAAATTCCATCTTTGCAAAAGTAAGTTTTCAAATGTTATTATTTAATCCTAGTAGCATTTTAAAGTTTCTTTTGTCTTTAAAAAATGTTGTCAATCATTGTGAACATTTAATGTACATCAAATGGCTTCAGACAACTTATATATTAATACGCACCATTTCATTGCATATAGAATTTACATGCCCCGTGAAAGGCTTTTGCTGAAGCATTGCCACCAAGCCACAACAGTGCAGCACAAGAGGCTTGATCTTTCTAAATTGGGGCCTTTTATGTCTCTTTGCTAGCTGAGGTGGCTTTACTCTGAAATCTTGGTCAAAACAATTATCGGCTCAGTTTTCTACTTGTGAGTACTGTATTGAGTTCAAAACCAACAGCTTACTTTATTAAAAATTTTACCATTTTATAAAAGACATGTCTAATTATGATGGAGATGGCTGTATTGTAATTAATATTTTGAGATAATTGTGATTTTGAGCTTAAATTATATACAAAAAATTGTCATTTTTGTATGTGTTAAAAGATTGCTATATTACAAATTAACTGTACTTTTCAGTTTAATTACAGTATTGATGTAAATAAAGCTGAATGAAGAAATATTTACTACTTTATTAACATAGATTGTGAATGTATTTAATGTTTTTGCAGTATAAGGACTTAATGAACTTGAAAAGCTGCTTCAGTTTATGTGCAAAAAGGTACTTTAAAACTATATTTTAAATCTATTGATTCAGTGAAATCAATTATCTTGTTAGTTAATTTGCACATGCAAGTTGTATCCTTCCAGTTTTCTTTTATGTATGACACTAATGGGTAAGGTGCATATTGTGTTTAGAATGCATTTTGCAGATGCTTTCTGTACATAAAAAATACAGGGACTAAAACAATGCTGTGCAGTGTATAACAGAGCCATTTTTCGGCTTTGGTGTACCCAACTTTTTCAGTATTTAAAAAGTGTTTTGAATAACATAAAAGAGTCTCTTTATTGTATAAATAATAAAATGTCACCTTATTGTAATTAACTTTTGTCATCTTTTAATGTAATAAGATTATTACTTATCCAAAAGCAATCACAATAATGCTGGTATTCCACAACTTACAGAAAATGAGTTGTTGAGCCAGTTCCTTCAAAGTTGCTCAAAATATTTGTTAATAAGTTTGATAGCTGCATCTGTATCACTGCTTTTTTCATTAAATTAAGAGTTAGAGTAAACATTTATTTATTAAGTATATGAGTAGAAGGAAAGAGT